AAAACATTTGAAAACGCATTTCCTTATCGTGTTTTATATAAACACACATGCACAAAGCGAGAAAAAGCAATCTAGACCTTCCCGCACGCATGTGCTACAACTGTGTTTTCCTGAGGAAGCATGCTGTAACTCATTTCTATCCTTCCGAACTTCGTTTTTTTTTCCCCCGTCCTTCCTTTGCCTGATGATCCCACCATCTTCCTTTTTGTTTCCTCGCTTGTTTCCTCCGCTTTGCATTTTCTGTTCTCTATTGTTATCATCGTCTTTCTTCGCCTCTGTGCTCCTCTTCATCCCTTCCCCCTCCCCCTGCAGCGTTTATCCATTAGGCCACACGCATCCAACGCAGTCGGCCCCTCCTCTCTACTCCCTTCCTCGGGTTGGAGACTCACCCACCTGCCGTTCACCACACGCAGCAAGAAAAAATGTGAAAGAGTTTGTCTCCCCCTCCCCCGCTCAGTCAACTTTGATGCTCCCGTATATCTTGCGCACAAAACATATGCCCGAAACGAGCCCAACCGCCCCTGCCGCGAGGCCATAGGCGTAGGATAGCAGCCCCATGTACATAAAGTACAGCAGCGTTGAGGCAAACGAGCTGATGGCAAGCTGCGTCGCGTAGAAGTAGATGGAGTAGAGAAAAACGTGAATTCCTAGTCCCCCAGGGAGGATGAAGCTGATCCACCACCACTGGTGGTTCTCGTAGCAGAGCACGTAGTACAGGTGGAAGACCGTCACGAGGGCGGCAATGGCGACCCAGAGCAGAAAGACCAGGGCAAGGAAGCCAAAGACGTAGTAAACCTGGCCGGCCCAGAGAGCCTGCAGTACAAAATTCAGCTCCAAGATAATTGCGAAAAGGGGAAAGATGGGGGGAATGGTGTACAAAAAAGCGGGACTGTTTGCCCACACCTGCGGTGGGATCTCCCGCGCCAGACGGCCTACTCTCACGGGGTTCGTGAGTGGCTCCTGCCTAAATGAAAAGGAGGCACCCAACACTGTCAGCGGCAAACTGATCAGCAGCCACAGCGAGAATATGGTGAGCAGGACGGAGAAGGAGACGGTGTCCGTGGAGCCGTGCGCCCAGTTGATCGTGTTTGCAAAGGCGTAGATAATGAGTATCGTCCCAGGGAAGGCACAGCCACAGAAGAACACGTGCCTCCATTCACGACAGTTAAAATACTTCAGCAGGAACCCACACACATACCCAGCCACCACGGACATAAACACGAAAAGCAGGATGATGGCGGTCAGAAGAGCACCACGCCGCGCAGGGGAAAGGAAGCCCAACAACGCAAAGAGTAACACCCCAGTGAACATGGCCAACACCTGGAACCCGTTACCCGCGAGTGCTGCCAACAGCGGTGCCCTATTTGGGACACGAAACACATCGGCATGCACGAGTTTCCAACCCGTCTCCTCCTGATTATCGTCAGGATCGGGAGAATTGTAACGGTTAAAATCCTTGTGTAATGCTCGCATCAATACCGTGGCGACGGCGGTGGCGCACAAGAGCACAATCAGCAGGCTACTGCAAACATAAAGCCAATGAAAAGTGGCACTAGAGTCTGCGATGGAGCTATGAAGGTAGGCGTCCCAACGTGTCGCCCAAAGGACGGTTGAGGGCTGCCATGTGACACTATACGTCCAATACACCTTCGCACCCGCACGGACGTCATCTGTGGTGAGAACCTTCATCTCGCCCTTTCTGAACTTCATAGCCTTGTTACAACTGCTTGCATTGCTTTCGTGCTTAATGCTGTAGGGTGTCGCCCTTAGACCAACAACCATGAACTTTTCGCTATCCCCTGGAGCGGTGTTGTACTCAATGACAAAGTCCAGGTGATTGTTGATGAGTGTCTTGCCCACGCACATACGGGGCACACCGAGGGGGTAGCCGCGGTAGTAGGTGTACTGCATGTCTTTTAACTTGGCCCTGCAGGGGGCGAGATACCCGGGCAGTGCATCCCCAAAGACGGGAAGATTGTCAATGTTCATAAAGCCTCGGTAGCCCCGCTCGATGTACTTCTCCAGCATGCCGATTTTGTTCCGAATGTCGCGATTGTTCTCCTCCACGTCGCAACCGGGAAGCCGCGTGCAGGTGGAGTTTTCCTTCATCTGCACCGAGTAGAGGGAGTTCTGGATGTAATCCCCCCAGATAACCTCGCCAATGGCCTCCGCCTTCGTCTCAAGCGTCTTGGGCGCACAAAACGGCAGCTTGTAGTAGCTCTGCGGAAAAAGCACCTTCAGGGAGCGGAGCGAGTTCACCATGAACGGCACCATCTCGCCCTCCGCGTAGTACTTGGGCTGCACGCCGGGGATGTAAAAGGCGTCCACGACCAACGGCGCGGTCATCATGGCGACCGCGGCGAGAAGCACCGCCCAGACTGCACGGGACACCCACATTTGTTGGCGTCAAATAGTATAAATAAATAACAACCAAAGGACCAAACAAACTCGTCCAAGGCCCACTACAGCCAAAATAACAAATAAGTAATAATAATATCCTCCCCGCGAGCAGAGGTCCTTTGCTGTGCTATGCCTTCGTCCACTTCTGCGTCCGCGTCCCCCCCCCTCCTCGCAGTATGCCTGTTTTCTGGGTTTCCTTTCAATGATGATGCTTCTTACGTATCGGACCCACCGGCTGCTTGCCGCTACCTGACCACCGTCGCTGTGATCTCCTTCGCTGCGTCGCAGCAACACCCACGACGCAAGAGCAGAGAAACAAGCCGGGAAAAGAAGCGAGGGGAGAGAAAAATGCACCGCAGGCCTGCGCAACGATGGCTGAAAGCGGGAGGCCTCGTAATCCCGAGAAGGATCAAGAGAAAGCAGGGGGGGGCGGCGTTAAAAAAAAAAAACACCGCCTAGTCAACAAATTGCACGGGGCTGTGGAAAAGAAAAAAAAAGTAGCAAAGGGAGAAGCCACGCCCACGGCAATGACCGATACGATGCCGCGACTAACTCCGCCGCTTCCTAGCGCTGCCTGGGCCCATCGGTACCGCCTCCGCCGCCGTCCGCGGGGACATGCAGGCACTCCCGAAGGGACTGCCCTCCGCGTCCCCGCCGTTTGCGTCCGCCACGACACTCAGCGTCGTCATCGATACATCGCCGCCGCCGCCGGCAGTCGCCGCCGCGGAGGTGGGTAGCGGGAAAAAGATGTCCTGCAGCTCACGCCGCCTACACAATAGGGAGGTGACGCCGTACAAGACGCAGAATCCCGCGAGCACCGACACCCACCACGCAAACCCGCCCCCCGTCAGCCGCCTAGCCACAACGCAGCAAAAACAGTAGTAGATGACGTACAATGTGAACGCGAAGTCCAGTGCAAACTTGCGGCGCTGAATCGTGAGGGCAAGCGGAGCCGACAAACCAAGCGCGGCCAATACATGCATGAGAAAAAAGCGCGGGGCGGATCCGTCTGAAACCTCCTCCACCTTCACCACGAAGAGTGAGCGGAGTGGCACATGGAAACAGAGTCCCAGTGAGGTAAGGAGCGGGAGGGAGACGGCGCTGCTGTCAAGCAGCGCCAGGGACAGCACTCCAAGCACCACTCGCGCCACACCAAGCATGATGAAGAAGAGGCTCATGGCGTGTAGGATCTGCAGAAACACAAATTTCGGATCACCAATCGACGCTCCCAGTGGGAGCGACATCTTTTCCTGCGCCCGTTGCTGTTGTTGTTCTGCCCCAGCGTGTGCGTGTGTTCGCGGCCACGTCGCCGCGGTCTCTGTCGCCCGATTACTAATGCCCCAGCGGAGCCTGAGGCGGGGCCCCTCGAGGGCGGGGGCTCAATGCGGCCGCGAGATTCTTGTAGTTTCCTTTTGCGTGTTCTTCCTCGTGTTGAGGGGCCCTGCTGTCTGCGCGACCCCCCAACGCACACCTGCGCGTTCCAGAAAAAAAAAGAAGAGGGTGAGGATCGGAACGCAAATGACGCAAAACAACAATTAGAAATGTGCAGTCATGCGTCCGCCGCCACCGTCCAGGGACGAGCGGAATCCCCCTTTTCCACGCCACGCGCCCCCCGAAAGAAGAGAGTAAAAGAAGAGAAAGAAACAAAACGAACAGGGAGGGAAGGGCGGCGACAGCGTCATCACGGACTTTGGCTGCGCCCCCGCGCCAGTTGAACCCCCCACCGACGGCTTCCTCTCCCCCTCTCCCCCACGCCGCACACATGCACGGTTTGTCGCCACACAGTCCCACGCGCAACACACCCCACCACACCACACACCCGCTCAGTCCAACAACTCGGCCCGAAGAACGTGGCTCAAGGAGTGCTTCTCCAGCAGCAGTTTGTCCACAATGTTTTGCGTGCAGGCCGGTAGCGGCGTCAGCGCGGCCCAGCAGCTCTGCAGCGTGAGGCGCAACTCCACGAGGGCGGCGAGTGACTCCGCCGACCGCATCACGACTGGCAAAAAGCCGTCCACAATCGCAACATTTGGCACGTCATCAGCGACGACCACCGCGCGTGGCTCACCGCAGGAAGCACTCGCAAGCAACAGCCCGCACGGCGGGGCAAAGGTCCCCAAGAGGGGCGGCTTCCCTCCTTCCCCCGCGGAGGCCCCATCAAAGGCACAGAAACACGGAAAGGAAGAGTGGCACGATGACGAGGAGGAGAGAGCAGAGGCAGAGGACGTCGCGGAAGATGCGACGTCGGAAGGCACATTGCTGGGGGCTGCTAAGGTGGGTGGCACAGCAATGCGCGCCGTTCTCTGACGATCCCTTGACTCTAGAGTTATCAGGCGCACCACGCCGTCGGGGGCCAGTTTCCGTTGAACAAACACCCTTGGGAAACTGGCGAACGCGACAGCAAGGCGCAGGCGCGCTTCCTCCGTCGTAGTCCATCTATCCTGCAAGGGGCCCCAAGCATCACCCACCACCACGCGAGAGGCGTCCAGTAGCGCTGCAAGTGCGCAAGACGAAGGCACCACCTTCTTCAACTGACTTGAGAGGTCATGGAGTCGTGCCGCGATGTCCGTGGCAAGACGCTTGGCGCGTTGGGGAAGTTCCAGCGGCACAAGCTCCACAACATCCCCACCCCGGCAACCGTCACTGTCAACGCCTGCGTGGGAGAGCACGAGGGCAGCCACGCGAACACACAACTGCAACGAGTCCAACAATGACCCTGCAAAGAGGAGTTTGGCAAGCTGCAATGGAAGCGCACCACCACTCGGCAACGGCGAAACTCCCCCAAGTACAGGTGACAACGGCGGCAAACATAATGACAATAATGCCACAGCCACTCCTATCGCATTTGCTTGAGGCTCCCCGTTGATTTCTTCACCCGCTGCGTGGGTGTTCAAGAGCCCCATTGTGCGCAAGAGATGTTGCGGCGCCGCAGGCAAAGTGAGTGGAATCGGTGTCGACGCAGACCCGAGCGCACGCTCCACGAGGTTGCAAAGCAGTTGCAGCTCTGGAGAGCCCAAATGGGCTTTGCCTGCCTGCAGCAGAGTTGCTGCCCCGCCCCATTCATCCAGCTCCAGTGGTGGTGGTGAATCCCCCCGCCCCGCCAGCACGGACCTAAGGCCCGCCATAGCCTTTGTCTCAAGGAGCATCTGGGCAGCAGCCTCGGTACGGAGTGCGGGGTAAGTCCGCAGCAACTGAGCCACCGCCTGAAATGTGGGCTTGCGCTGCAGCTGTTTATAGAGCTCGGCAATTGCCCTATTGCGTGACTCTCCCGCATTGGTGCGGTCCTCCCCTTTTCCTGCCATGCGTAGCCCACTCTCATCCTCCAGCTCAACGAGGGAGACGTAAACCAACTGACCTCCGGCTCCCGAGCCACTGCGTTCCTTCAGCGTCAGCCGCAGCGGTAAAAAGGGGTGTCGCAGCGTTGTGTAGAGCGCCATGATGGCCAATTTCCCACGTGGCGTGAAGTCGCGAAGCGCGGGATCGAACAGGTCCCCATGCCGGTTCCTCAACATGTTCCCTGTTTCTGCACCCCCTTGCAGGGGCCCACTGACTAACCCCACAATATATTCGTAGTGCATTGCCGCCCGTGTGACGGCCTCTTGCCCCTCCTCACCCATGCCACGAGCCACAAACGGAGTTCCAAGCACCGGCTGCTCCACAAAGTAACGCCGATGTGGGTGGCGTCCGTAGATTTCAAAGCGAAATGACAAGGGCGGCGGCGCCGGTAGTCTGGCAGCAGCACACTTCTGCGGCAACTTGGACTTGGCGTTCGCGAAGAGTGGCAGGGTTTCGACAAAGTCGAGGCCGTTATCTTCGATCGCCACCCCACTTCGTGGCGCCTTCCCCTGTGTAAAAAGGGCCTCCAGGACCACGTGCTCCTTCACCTTCTGTATGTATCCCCGGCACCCCGTCACGTAACTGCTCCACACAAATGACTTGTGACACTCTGCACGAGCCGGGGGGCTCGGCGCCTGCGGCTTCTCCGTGTGCATGTCTTGAAGACTTTTTAACCCAGGTGGTGACTTTGTGCCCCCAGGCCTCAACGGGTCGCCCGGCTTTGGGGCATAACGTCCCTTTGACTTTGCGATGGCCGCATACTCCGCCTGCTTCGCCCCGATGTAAATGGGCACTCCGAGTTCACCGAGGATATAAACGGCGTGCATGCAACACAAGAGAAGGGCTTCTTTCTTTGACGCAGCACATCCCACAGCGTAGCGCCGGCCAAATTGTGTCGGCACGGGCAACTCCATAATGGCTCGATGCACCAGTCCGTAGCGAGGACTGTAAACGTTGTACTGTCGCACAGAGCGGTAAATGTCCACGCCTCTGCGCCTGCAGTAAACTTCAAGCAAACGCGGCGCATGACGGAAGAACTCTGAGGGGTGAACAGAAACTAACCCTGCCAAGTCGCAAAGTGCGTCATCTGCTATTCCGGAAGAAGACGAGGGAGCCGTTGTTGGCCCAGTTCCCGCCGTGGAGGTGGGAGTTTTTCCATTTGTTGCCCTGCCACTCCCATCAGGAGGATGAATTGTGGGCGTCGTAGGCCTCGGAGCTTCGCCACGAAGCACGGAGCCCTCCCTCCTTGCCTCCTTCGAGAGGCGCGCCCACAGGCACGAGTCCACATGCTCCTTTCGTACCGGCGGTGGCGTAGGTACCGCCCTTCGCGCCGATTGCGTCTCATGCGGCGCCCAACGACCCAGCAACCCTGCAGCGTCGCAGTGCTTCCCCTGGAGAAGGTTAAGATCGTAAAGCGCGATTCCAAGCTCGTCAAGAAGAAGCTCGGCGTGCACGGCGCACATCACGAGCGCCTCCTCCTCTGTGTAAGCCTCCCCGTGGGCCACAACTTGACCAAACTCCACAGGCACCGGAAGGACGACCTTCTTCACCCACAGCGTCAGTCCTTCGTCGGTTTCAACCATCGAGCTCTTCACGGCGCCCTCCAGCCGCTTCCCGTGACGCTCCATGTAGTCTCTCAACCGGACCAGTGCAAAGCGATCTGCCTGGCGCACCGAGGGAAGCGTGTGCACGTAATTTCTACCCTCCTGAACGTTCATGCTTGGGCTAAGAATGATGTATCCGTCCGCGTCGGCTTCCAAGGACCAGTCACTCTTCGACAACTCCGCCCGCGCGCCGCGAAGCCGCGCGGCACGACTCTCCTCCGAATTCCCACGCTGCCGTCCAGACGACGGTGAAACCCCAATGCTCCTTGCCGGCGAGAGTCCTGGCACCATGATGCGGCCGATATGACCCACAACATAGCGGTAGGGTGCGGGAATGGGTGTGTCGCGGAGAAGGTTGCGTTGTGGGAACCCCCCGCCGTCGGCGTCCCCCAGTAGCGGACGGTTAAGTAGCTTGAGCACGCTAAGAGCGTGCATTGAGGCGGCCGTTTCGGCCTCCATCTCCGAGGTCCCAATTCCAATCGCCACAAAGGATGCTAAGTCGGCGGGCCCACTATCCTGAACGTTCGCAGCCCCTGCGGGTGCCTTTTTGTCCGCCAGCAAGGGAACTGGGACGGTTACCGTGGCCCGATAAACCTCGTGGTCCTTTATACCGAGGGACTCCACAAAAAACGGGGCACGCCCGCCGCTAGCAGCGTTCCGATGTTGTGCAAGATAATTCAACAGGTCACGGTGGGCGGCTGGCTCAAGTTTCCGCACCTCCGTTACGTTCGTAAAGCCCTCAATGGCCTTGGCATGACTCATGAGAACGGATTCCACGGTAGCCACGGCGTCCACCTCGGCCGCAGTCGTCAGTAGGCCTTCCTTGACGAGTTGCAGCGGCGGTGGGGAGGACTTTGCGTAGTGGTACTCGCAGTCTAAGGGCCTGCTGCACCAGCGATTCACCTTTCGGCACTCCTCCGCATGGGTCTCTTGCTTCTCTCTGTCAGAAGGGTACAAAGCAAGTCCTAGCGCGTCTATAATGAGCTCGGCATGCATACACGCAAGCGCAATTGCCTCCTTCTTTGTGGGTGATTTACCACACGCAACACGATCCCCAAAACGCCCATCAATAGGCAGCTTTATCTGTGCAACAAACATTTTATTATTACCATCAGCAGCATCACTCGTAGAGGCTGTCGCCTCCCCACTACCCGCCAGAGACTTGTCCTTAACGACGCACTTATGCAGCGGTGTCACCCGCGAATAGCGCTGAATATTGCAGTTGTATGCCGCGAAAAACTGCTTGACACGGTAGACGCTTCCGTAGTCAAGGAAGAAGGGGGAGGCCAAGGTCAACTTCATGGGAGTAAAGGAACCCGCCGTGACATTGGAGAACACCAGCTTGTCAATTTGCAGCCGCCGCTCCGCCGCCTTCGTTGCGCCCTCGCGCAGCAGCTGCAGTCGCGGCGGGGAGGGTGTAGTGGGAGGGCGGAGGCCGTCGCCGGGCATTGGCGCCCACCGTCCCGCGTTTCGGGCCGCCTCCGCATGCCGCTTCTGCTTCGACGTGAGCTGAAACATCGGGAACCCCATGGCGTCAATGACGCGCTCGGCGTGCATGGCGGCCACCAGCTCCGCCTCCTTCTCGGTCGGGGCCAATCCCTCTCCCCAGCGCTCGCCGTACTCGGGAGGCAGCGGGACACGAACCCTGGCGTGGAAGAGCGCGTCCTCGTCGCCCGCGGTCTGCACCTCCCGCACCTCCGTCAGCAGGTTACTCGCGGCACAAGGCGCCGACCTCGCAGACGCACTGGGCGGCATGCGCTTCACAAAATTTGCCACCTTTGCCCGAGCAAAGGCATCAACCGTCGTGATCGTCTCCGCCGCGGCATCCTTGCTCGTTTCGTTCTCTTCCAACTCCAGAAAGTCATCCGCGTCGTCGCCGTCGACGTCGTTGTACGTTTTCCTGTTATTATTACTGCCTGCAAAAGTGTCCTCCGGCACCAGCAGCTCCACGTGCAGCAGCTCTGGGGCCCTGTTGGGTGAATGCAGCAGCGGCCGCGTTGGCTTCGCCACGCAGAGAGCCCGAGATCCCCCCCACCAGAGTGCGTGGCAGAACGGGGGCCGTGGCAGCCCGCCAGAGGCGGCGCCCAAACGGAATCGCATGGCGTTGTACGCAACCGGAGAAGAGCTGCAATGCCTCGCCGCGCCCCTCCACACACACGCAGACACACACACACACACACTCGCCCCTTTCGTGCGTTTTTTTGTTTTGCTTTTTGTTTATTGCTTGAGTGCTGCCGGGGGCGTCTCTTTGGGTTGCCCCAGCCGCAGTGACGGCCGCAGCAGGGAGGAGAGAGAAAAAGATGGCAACGACAGCAATTAACACAACCGGCGCAGGAGGAGGGGGAGGGTGACGGGCAGTGGGGCCGAGGAACTCAACTCCGCCCGCCGCCCAACTCTCGATTGTGTTTCTTTGTTTGTTTCTTTTGTTTCGTTTTTTTTTCCCTCCTCCGCCTTCTGTGGGGGGACGCGGCTCGCTTGTAAGCCGAGACCCCCCCCCGCTCCGGCCCGGCGCGTCCGAAGAAGCGCGAACGCGTGGGGCGGCGGGCGCCCCGGCAAGACGAAGGCCGGCAGGCCAACACACCCCAACTTTGCCCTTCGCCCGCAGCCTCTTTTTT